GGATGGTGAGGTTTCCATTTTCCTACCATTGTTTTTTGTTATGATTTTCATGTACTCATCTTTGGAAGCTGTAATTCTGGGTACTGTTTCCATGCTGTGCTGGGCACCTGGACACGTCCCTTTCCATCCGTCAGAGCTAGCTATGGATCTGATGGGAGATGGTGGAGAGAGGTGGTCAGTTGTGGCAGTTGTTACAGGTGGCAGTGAGACCATAAGGGGCAGAGAAACCTGACAGTGGTCATCAGACTTTCACAATTCTGCTCTTAGCAGAGAGAAAATAAGTTGGAACAATGTGATCTAGAGAAGAAAATCACAGATAATGTGAAAGCAGAGGGAAGAAGAAGGCTAGGAGAGACACCTCTGTACTCAGAAGGAGAACCATAGGGACACAAAGGGAAGGACTGATGTATCTGGATCCCGTTTAAACGGTAATTGGATGCGATAGCATGAGAATTGGTTGTATAATGCGTAGTCTACTCAGGTCCCTGTTTTCAGATCCAAGAGCAGTCTGTCACCTTAGTGCAGTTTTCGGTAAGGTTGGATCTTGAAAGGCAGCTCAAATAGCGAGTCCCTTTTTTTCCTCACGAAGGTTTCCACCTTCTCTTTCATGAATGCCCACCTGATCGGTAGCTGGCTTGCATTTGTGTAAGCACTTAGCTCAGTCAAAGCAGGATCCCTGGCAGTACTGAAATCCTTTCTTTCCCGAGTTGCCTTTGCTGAAGTTATTGAAATCCTGACAGCTGTAAGCCTGACCTAAAGCCCCTCACAGATGGTGTGCGTCAGTGGGGTTGGGATCAGTATCCTTGAAATACTGGTGCAAAAACTCTGAGATTGGCTTAGCTGCCAACTGGAACTCTGATTTAAAGCAAAGTTGTATGTCCAGGTTTAATTATCCCAAACGCAATGCGTTATAAATCAGATAGATACAACTTAAAGAAGATGATATAAGAAGTTATAACTCAAATGAAATCTGAGGTTAAACCTCACTGTAAGGGGATTCAGAGAGCCTTAATTCTGCACTGAGGTGACAACAGAAAGAGCCGCAATGTCACACGGCAGGCACTTCCCTTTAAATAACTTGCAAGGAAATGTGTGTAGTCACCCTGCTGTCTCTGTACACCCTGTGCTTGGGTGTCCATGAGAAGGAAAGGTGCAGGGACCATTTCTCTCACCCTAGCAACATCATCTGCCAGCATTAGAATAGTCTAAGCATGAACATACACAATACTGAAGACGTATAAGAAGAAAAAAATAGAGAAAACCTATGAAAAAGAACCACCCCTTCCAAATGCATTAAATAATAAATAGTTTGTGTATGCTGTCATCTGTCCGTGTTCCAGCCTGAAATTCATTTCCTCTTTAGTGTCTTCCCAAGATCTACTTTGCAGATAGATACTTGTATGTTCTGGCAAACAGTTTAAGAACCCATTTTCCCCACTGGAGATAATACTTTTTGAAAGTGTTTATTAGACCAGTCAGGTTTCTGAAATGCTGAGCAATTTATTTTGATTTATTTATTAGAGAAATTGATAGCAGAAGTGAAGCATTTTAGTGTAAGCAGTTTCTTTATCACTGACGAATGAGGTACGACATGCTGCTTTTGAATTCCACATCCAAGTGTCAACCAGAACTGAAAACTAGCCTTTAAGGTGCTTTTTGATATTATTGGAAAGCAGAGGGAATGGATATATATATACATTTTTTTAAAATCTTTTTTTTTTCCTGTAGAATTTTACACAGAAGCTTTCTAAAAGTCTTGAGTACTTAAACAATATTTTGAGGCACTGTTGTGGTACTTGAAAATATGCATTGGTTTTGGAGAGAAGTGCGGATTAAGTCAGTGGCATCCAGTTAGTCAAGAACGAAGCCGCAATGTCCGTGCCAAGTTCAGCATCCTTGGCCTTTGCATTTCCAATGGCTTAAGTGAAGTGAATCAAGGAGATGAGGAAAAGAAGAGTATAGCAGAAGGAGAGCAGAGCAATGGTACTTTGCTTGTACTTTCTTTGGAAAATGATTTGCATCAGCTAGGAAGCAGTTGGGTTAGTTGAGAAATGGAGCAGACTTTGGAGAGGTGTATGCAGCAGTGAATTGTTCTCTGGAATGCTTCCTGGAAAGGCTGGAAAAAGCAGACAGAGGGGAATCTTGAGGATTATGCAGTAACGTTCAGTGTCATCACAGGCTCTGTCACTTAATTCCTTCTAATCCTATAATTAGTTTTCTTTTGTATTTAGAGGTTTCATTTTCCCACTAATTTGCTTAATTCATTGTTTGTCTCTCTGTCGCTAATTCATTTATTACCATCTTATTTATATCATAGATACATTTTAGTTGTAACTGGTTTTGGGCTACTGAGGTTTATCCTCAAAGACCTCCAGTTACTTTGTGTTCAGTATTTTTATTTCTGCCATAGCAGTCATAAGTAGGAAGGATATGGCGAGGAGTTGTAGTGTCGCATGGAAGAATTGTACTGTCAAATTGGAGTTTTTTGTGCTCTGTAAGTTATAAGTTTAATATTTGATCAAGTTATATTGTTTTTTATACTTACCAGATGATGTGCTCTGTTCTAGAAAAAAAATAGATTCTGTGGTATTTACTCTTGGTATTTAGAGGCTCCGTATTATGTTTATCAGTGACTGTATCATCTCTATCAAAAAGTTGCAGGTACTTTCTAAAGTCTTTAATTCTGTTGGCCGTGATTTTAAGGGTGCCTAATCACAAAGGTATAATGCAAAAGTAATATCTGGAAAGTTTTTCTGTTTTTCTACTTAAAAGAAATAATTGCTCCAGATAATTAAGTGCTACAGTCACAGCTACCACGGCTCTGTGAAGGAGAAACAGCAGCTTCTGAAGCAAAGCAATCGGTGACCATGGTTTGTCCTTGTGTCATGGGTCGGGGATGTTGCCAACGCTGGGATCACAGATCCTGTTTTCCCTGCAGTAGTCCCTCGGATTTGATTACCGAGCTGCTGTTGAGCAACGTTTGTGACACCTTTTCCACTTGACACCATTTCCACTTGTGGTTACTATTTGACGAGAAAAGATCATTTCTATTTTTTTGCTATTTGAAACTTAAAATTGTTTCTAGGCTGCTTTTCTAGCCACAGCACTGATTTTAATATTGTAGTGAATTCAGAGTGCAAACAGAAAAATGTCTGCCGAAAGCTTGTTTATCCATTTTCAGTTTTGTGATCATCGGTCACTGGTCAGAGAGGCGCTAATTATTTGATGATGGCTGCTGACTGATGGAATGACGTTCAAAGGATGCAGAACATTATAGGAAAGTGTTCATCAGTAAGTTAGGTAAGAAAAAAGTAAGCAGTGTGAGGCTCTTTCAGGGTTCAGAAGGGTCAACCGTAATCTGAACTGGCTGAGCCAAGGTCAGATGTCTCTGCCTAGTGGTGTCCTAATTAGTAATGCTACTGATGAACTATGAGAGCAATACTGGCAGTCTGATGTTAATCATATGAACCTAACTCACTTAATTGGATTGTGTTTTGCCACTTTGCAAATCCTAATTATACAAAGAGGCTATTTAGCAGCAAACAGGCTTTAACTCTACAGAAGATTTTTTTTTTTTCCCTTCTCGTACTGTTCTTCATTAGAAGAAGAACACTTCTTTACTTTCAAGGCTTCTTTGGAGAGCAGATACAGGGTTTTTATTTTTTAATCTTAAATCAATATTTACTGGTAAAATCCTGCCAGTTGGGAGTTCCTGCAGTTTCTGAAGAGATGGTATAAACAGGAGAACACTGTCACAAAATAACGGTCTCCTGCTGATTCACAAAAACCAAAGCAGAGCAAAATTATTGACTGCAAAGTGGGGAGAAATTGATTGCTTGACAGTGTTTCCTTACAATGAGGTTGTAAGTTACTCATTCTTTCTGTTAGTCCAAATGAATAATATAGATTTATTTGTTTTGCTGCATGGGTGTTGGTACAGCACTGAATACTGTGTTACTGTGTAATTGTATTCTGTTTGAGCTATAAAGCAAATTGACTGATCTGGCTATCTAGAGGTAGAGAACCTCAATTCTCCATCCCTACTGTGTTGTTCAGCAAATCAGGCTACCTCCTGTACAAGGTTGTATTAAGAGCTATGATATCATCATATGTCTCTGGGGTGGTACGTTCCTGTGGCGTTCAAGGACCAGAGAAAGTTTGACTCTGTCTCTTCTAGTTTCTGGGAATGACTCTTTATGGTTTTTAGCTATCTTTTCATCTGTGTATCCCAGTTATCCTGACTAGCATCTCTTATATGGCAGGCAGCACAGGGACGGGCAATAAACTTTCTCTTCCTGATGCTGAGTAAAGCAAATTGGAGGGTTTTCCCACTGTCTGCTGTATACAAAAGATTGACTCCTGACAGCCAACATGAAACCTCATCTTCAAACGACTTCAAATGTCCCACCCAGTTATTACTGCCTACATGGTGTCCAAGTTTAAGCAGTCTTCTTTATCTTTTTATTTTTTTATTTGCTCCTGCTGAGATTGTTTACTCCGAAATATTTGTCTTTAGGGTGGACTGATCAAAAGTACAAGTGTTGGCCTAAGCTGGCTCCCACTGAAAGCAGTGGTGAAGCTCCCATAATGGGAGTGGTTGAACTGAAGCTGTGTGCTAAATTATGCTGGTGCAATTTCTCTCACAAACACAGCCTCTTTGCTTTATGGAATGTGAATACACCATACAGTGCTGCAGTGAGCGGAGTTCCCCTGAAGCACTACAGGCATGTGTGCCTAGTGCTCAAGCAGAACTAATTATTTCAGCTCGTCAGCACTATTTCTCTGGCCCTCATGATTTTAGGGAACCCCCTGCGTAGCTGTTGGTGTGTCACTTTGTGCACTAACTTACTTGGCGCTTCCTTGGAAGTCTTAAAAGCAATACAGGGTGAACACACCCCCAGAAACCTCTGTTTCATCACTTGGTTACCTGTTTGTTTCTAGGTGGCAACTGTATGCTTATTTCCACAAAAGACAGATGTATTTTTCTTTTCCAGAATTACAAATGAAGATGAACGGCTACCACAGGCAGCAGCACTGATAACCTCCTTCTGTTCTCAGTAGTATCCAGATCTGTTTTCTTCATGCACAAATCTCAGAATTCCTCTTTTGGAGAATCAAAGATGACTTGAGTGGATTGGTGAGTAATTGCAAGTCAGCAGGCAGAGAACCACAAGAGGACTTGTGTTTTCTTCCTGTCCGCTTAATGCGCTTCTTTTTTCCAAAAGAAAAACTATTCTGTGATTTGAAAAATTACTCCTGTTCTTTAAAGTTGGGGGTGTTTTTTTTCTTTTTTTTGGGGGGGAATATTTCCAGAAACAGGTATTGAAATATTTCTGAGTAAAAAAAAAAAAAAAAAACCAAAAAAAAAAACCCCAACAACCTAATAAAATAAAACAAAACCAAACAAGTCCAACAGTACGAATTCTACCAGGCTAATTCTCGAGTTTTTTGGAAGAAAAATAATGCTGCTTTTCCATGTGGGATCTTTAAGTCTGTAAAGTAGCCCTACACACACCTGTCAGATACTACTTAGGTCCCTCTTTACTCTGATTTTGGCTCACAAAGCTGCTTCTGATAGAGCTGTTAATGCTCACGAAGATCTGCAGCCTTCAGAGGCAGAGACCTAAATGCACACCTTGCTGTGACCTGCAAATAGCTTAGGCTGAGACAAAACTGGAAGTAATCTAGGGGAGGAAAAATAAATGAATGATGCTTCCCTGGTGCACTCAGAAACCTTTGTGTCCTTCCTGGCAAGCAGGTTGCAGAGCTGGTCAGTGAGTGCTATTGCTCATCCCTAGTACAAGCACCTTGATTTCTTGTCAAGGGAACCTGAACAAAGTGATGGGGTGTGGGAGAAGAAAAGTGTGTGTCTGACGCAGTAAACCAGTTACAGAACAGCCACTTAGATGTTGCTTTGCTACCTTTTACCCCATTATGTATCTCCTCTCTTCTCAGACAGCTGGGGCACCTGTATCTGTCTAATTGCATTTTCTTCTGCTTGGGCATCTGCCTTGAATTTTTCATCACGTTACAGATATAATTCAGCCTATGATATTTCAAAAGAACTTCTCACTGTAGCATTTCAAATGCTTTACAAAAGAAAGGGCCATGAGAAGAAATGAAACACGGTCAAGGACTTTGTGCTTTCTTTTTTCTTTTTTATTCCTATTATGGTTAGCTTGTTATTTCCAGGGAAGGTCTTCTCAAAAACAGTATGTGGATTTCACTCTCTGAGAATGAATTACAGTAGAGCCGAGTGTGATATCTCTTGGCAGATTGCTCCATGCCTTCCTACTTATCTAAATGATCTGTTGTCAGATGATGAACATGTGATCTCCAGCTGTGGGATCTCAGAGGTGTATGACAGTGCGTCTGAAACACAGTGGATTAGCTGCTTTTGAAGTATTGGTGAGCAAAAATACCAGAGAATCTGTACCCGTATCATCTCTAAAAGAGAGAGTTAAGATAAGTTCTAAATTTCAAACTATATGTGTAACAGTTGTGTTGCAGAGTTGCTTAGAAAGCTGCTTTAGATCTTGAGAACTGGTCAGTTGAGGTGAGCTTCCAGTCTAGGTAGATCAGATGAGACGAGACAGAGTTTCCATCCTCAAGTGTAGCTTTTGTCTTACTGCAGGTATGAATCTCACTATCCTGGTGGGCTGTGCCCTGAGCTCTGGGTCAGTTATCAGGGCAATGATCTCCTGAACGTAAATACTGTGTCTCAATGTGTTTAGCAGAAGGCAGCAAAGGAGTTAAATGCAGCATACTATATATATTTCTACGTTACTCTACACCACTGTGGGGAAATAAGATATGAATCAAAAATAAAATCCATCACCTTGAGAAAATATCTCCTAACCTGAAAGTAGACTTTACCAAATAAAACGATAAATACTTCTGTGTTTTCCAGTACTGCAAGATTATTAGATTTTTAAAAAAAATCGGTGTTGAAAACTACTGGCGTGATCTTTTATTAGGTAAACAATCCTTTCTCTCTCTCTCTCTCTCTCTCTCTCTCTCTCTCTCTCTCTGAAGCAAACAGGCTCTTGAGAGTCATCAATAATTTATGGCAGAGTAGCTGTAATTGTAGGTAGCATGTTTGCCCTGTTAGTGTTTGGAAAAAAACAAGAAAACAAAAACAAACAGAAAACTGACTAACCTATATGGTGAGGAAAACGGGCACCCTTCGTAATAGAAATAACCAGTACCTTAGGAAATGTTGCAAACAGATGGCTACCACGTGCTGTGCACAGGAATAGGTGATTAAAACTGAGAAACAGAAATAAATATGACCCTCGCCTTAGCAGGCTTCTGGGCAGAGATATAACGTAATTCTTGCGAACACTGAATAAGTTTTTGTGAGGGCAGGGTCTTGGTTTGCAGTGCCTCCAGGGTGCTGTAATTGCTCTGTTTTGCAGGGATGCTCAGGGTCTGCAGTCAGAGCCATGGGTTCTTTGTGTGAGGGGTGGCAGAACATGAGCTGTAGAAGATAGCGTGAGCTGGGGTGTTTTGTTGTCAGGCTTTGATCTCCAGACTAAATTTACTGAAATGTGTTGACTTACAGAGGTTACGAGGTGCGTAGGGTCAGTGCTATGGAGGTGGAGACAGTGTCTGTGGTAACAGTAAGAGCAAGTGAAGTGATGGGGTATGTTAGACAGTGACACAAAATTATACAGGAAATATTTAATTGGTGTTATCTAAACAGAGGTACATCTTTCTCCTAACCTTGAATGTGCTCTAGTTGAATTACTTGCGGAAGGACGTGGCAGAAATAGAAGAGATTGAAAGGGCAATGGAAATTATTAGAAGCAGAGGGGCTGGCTTGACCTAGTGAAGGAAGGAGATGTTAGGGTTATATAAAATATGAACTGGTATGGAGAAGCTCAGTCCTTTTTATTCTTTCTCATCATGAAAGAACAAAGGAACATTGAAATGAAAAGGCAACAAGTTTAAAACAGATGAAGAGAAATTTATGTATTTTCATGCGACATTTATTCAGTCTATAGGAATTGCTGAGGCAGGATGATGCTGTTGCCAGTAGATTGGTTAGAAAATAAAAATGACGAGACACAAATGAAAAGGACTTCAGTTACATAAGCCAGGAAAATAGTTACTGTATAGAAGCAATTAATCAGCCTTCAAGGGAAAAATAATGATCAACTGCTCGGTGCAGGAAGATTTATCTGAGCCTTGAATTCTTAAAGAGGAAAAGCTTCTCTTTAATTCAGTAGAATTTGGGCTAATTAAGGACTGTGATGGGTTTCATCATTCCACCTTTTCCACATGATTACATAATTAGCAAAAAGTATATTTAAGTAAATACTGCCTACTGTCCAGTGCATAAATACAGGATGGAGTGCTAAACCCCATCTCGTTGTCCCTTGTACTTCTGGAATATGTTCTCATCCGACAATCAGCTAACGCTTGGGCATGGCGTGTAGGAAGCATTCTTCCCTGTAATGCTCAAGCCAGGTTACTCTCTACTGGGCCAGGCTTCAGCAGAGAATCCTTAGGCAAGAATAAAGTTTTGGGAAGAGTCAGACAAAGAAATGAGGTTTCCTGTATGGACACAAAAGCACATGATAAGATATGAGTATTTAATGTGCTTTTTCTCCTGGAGTACACAAGCTTTGCCATGTTAATACTAACGTTCTACTTAGAAAATTCTAGAATGTGAAGTTTAAGCTGTTATGTGCTCTTTGCTTTGTTAATGTCAAAAAAGATATTTACAATTGTGCCCATGATGTGGAATTGGATGAATCTACGTTGTGAAAATACAGAACTGCCTGCCTACCGTGTGTTATTAGTTTCTAATGTTAAATATTATTCTGAAGAAAAAGCTGCAATATTCCCCAAGTTTTGACATTCTTTACGGAACAAATCCTTAAGGAAAAAAGATGGTCTCTTGTTTTCTCAGATCTCCTTTATATTAGAATCATAGAATCTTTAAGGTTGGGAAAGACCTCTAAGATCATCTAGTCTAATCATCCACTTTCCACCGACATTGCCCGCTAGACCATGTCCCCAAGTACTACATCTATCCTTTCCTTAAACATATCTGGGGATGGTGACCTCCACTACTTCCCTGGGCAGCCTGTTCTAGTGCCTCACCACATCCTTCTGAGAGGAAATTCTTCTTAATATCCAACCTGAACCTCTCCTGGCACAACTTCAGGCCATTTCCTCTTGTCCTATCACTTCTTACCTAGGAGAAGAGATTACTTGGCTTAAAATTAGTTTTGAAGATAATTGCTTCATATTTTTGAAGCTAATCTTGTTTCTGCAAGTTATCTTTCACTTTTTTTTAATCATTTTTCTTATAAGGATGTCACACTGGCTGCTTGTTTTGTATGCTATAATGTTCAATAGCAATTTAGCTTTCTTCCTCTAAAAACACGTTTCAAGACCTAACTTTGTATATGTTGTGGATAGAATGGATATGAAAGGTGATGTGATTGCCTGTGTGTGAACCTACTTCAAAGGTAAAACTGTCCTCACTGAGTTCTCTTTGTCTGTAAATCAAGGAGTTGCCCGTTAGGTGGGCAAACTGACAGTGACTGCTCCCAGCTCAGGCAAGTCCCTAAGCCTTTATTATCCTGATATTGTCTTGCGGGTCAGAGGCAGCACAGCAAATTATTGTCATAAATGTCAATAGTTGATTTAACTCCCATTAACATTTTCTGTGTTGTAAACCTCAAATTAGAGACTAAGGGCTTCTCTTTTATTATTCTCCGTGCATTATATCAGACTTTGGCTCACAGGAAAAGGAAGAAGTGACTTGAAAACCTTCTGCAAAATACACGGTGCCCCGCTGCTTTCCATTCAGAGTGACAGTCACCTGTCACTCTGCATGAGCAAGGCTGCCCTGCTTAGCATGATGCTGACCCTGCCAATACAGATGCTCCCCTTTGCAGCGGGGAGGCATGGAAGCAGCCGAACCTCTCAGGGCTGTTCTAAATTTCTGAAGGTATCGCTGTTAACTGCAGCCTGTGATAGTCAGCCAAGTGGGAATCTTTCTCCTTTCGTCCCAGGTTGAGAAGAAAATAACTTGCATGAGCAGAATGGGCGTCTTGTTGTGCAGATGACACAAAAACCTGAATTCGTATCAGAGCTGCTTAAATCACAGTGAAATTCTAA